TCTAACGACAAACTTGGGTTGTTGAAGGCCACTTCTTACCTGGACAAAACAAACCAGTGATTGATATAATGAACAATGTCCCTCACCTTCGACGATATCCAATTATGTGAGGAATTAGTACGTAATGGTACAGCTTGCCTATTTTACTCGGGTCAATAAGGGTTTGTAAGATTACGACGTACAAACAACGGTTTGGTTTGAAAGCAAAATATAAACCCGAATTATAAAGGCCTCCGAATGTCATTGTCGAAATTACTACAAACATGTACATAAATTTCAAGACGTACCTGTCTTCACCTGTAGTGTTAAACACTGTCTGGAGGGTAAACTAATGCACGCACCTTTCTTGTGGTGACATGTGCTTCTGATTGCTGACGCTTCTCTCCTTTATCGTGTAAGAAAATAACAGTTTAAACACTCGTTCACTGTACAACACCCCCGTTACCCCCCTTCAACCGTTTAGGTACATAGGTAGGATGATTAATAGCATTGGCGCTTCGTTCGGCTATTCTCGCGGCTTTCCGTCCGTCGCGTTGGTCCGCGCCTTTTGGCCTGTTCTGATACAGTTGCAGGCTGCTTCCTTGATACAGTAGGTGTGTATGGCAGGTTTGTTCTGATTGCCATGTATGTCCCATAAGTGCAATCACATGATCATCACATGTACCTCGCTGAATTTTATCTTTAATCACAAATGACAGTGCATTGTTTGTCGAAGTGGCAGTGTAGTCGACATTTAACTTTGACGCTGGGAAACGACTGATTAATGGGAAATTGAGGTTTCATGGACGATAAGGTGCACTTATTTGACGCTGCACACATCAATATTCAAGCTATATCTGACGGCGTTCTGTAAGCCATCAACAAGTCTAAGTAACGACTGATCCTACGCCGTCTGAGCATATCTGCACATTCTGTTACCGAGACCGAAGACCCAGACTTAATTAGTTGCCCCTTTCGACAAGCACAGGTTACTGGGGACTTGTTCCCAACCGGAGCAACCATACACATGAACCCATGCATGCTGGGGGTTTTCCACACACACGCAGGCACACGCATATGTATATACTGTATTATTTAGTTAGTTAGTTAGTTAGTTAGTCATTCATGTATGTATGTATGTATGTATGTATGTATGTATGTATGTATGTATGTATGTATGTATGTATGTATGTATGTATGTATGTATGTATGTATATATGTTTCATTCATGTATGTACGTATGTATGTATTCATTCATTCATTCATTTAATTATTTAGCTAGTTAGTTAGCCATTCATTCATTCATGTATTTACATATGTATATATTCATTCATTCATTCATTTATTTATTTATTAATGTTGTTATTTATATGTTGTTGCTTTATTCGTTGTTTGTTGTTGTTTGTATATGTTTGGTTATATAGGATTTCTTTTCTCAGTTAAAGTACTGAACCGTGTGCTTCCCAGTAGAGTTATGTGGCGTAAGTGTACCATGATCGGCTAATTGATGTGGGTTGGTCTTTTTTATTTATTATTTTTGAAAATTCTGAATTGATTGTTTGGGGAAATGTACGTAAACAACTGTAAAACAATCTTAACTATCAGACGGCGTCAATCAATAGACAATACTCGGATATTATCTGATATTATCTGGTGTACATCTGATAACTACACGCGTGTCCGTTACATACTACTTATCTTACAACTAGTTGTTTATCTGTATCTCACCGGAGAGAGCGACTTTGACAGGTTCCGAAACAACGAGTTATGAAATAGATGAAATCCCACTGGCAAGAGTGTGTAAATTGTTTCTTACACGCCTTATAAACGCTCCGAATCGATGCATATTTTGCCAATTATCATGATCATGGTGGCGCATTAATGCATGTGCCAGACGAGTCTGAGACGACAGCTTACCACCCATGTTAAGTATGAACCTCCACAAAAAGTGTCCACTCCGCAGATTTGTTTTACCAAGGCGATGGCGATAATATAGTCCGAACAGTGGCCGATTCAACAAGACTAGTTAATACATTCCAGTCTGTAATTTATTGTGTTGACCCTGGGCCCGGTTGCACAGATGGTGATCGAAACTGCCATACTTTCCATTGTGGTACGATCATCGATAGGTGTTTTATGGAACGAGATCCAGGTAAATTAGTCACTGAAAGCACGCCCATCAATTCATGACATTGGGGAATAATAGCACGCGAGTACTATCATCAAATTTAGTGTCATCGTACGACGGATAATTGTTTTCGATGCATCAGTTGTTAAAATGTTGAACATAAACATTCATTTTTGCTTCCACAAAATATTCGAAACACCTAAAGTGATTTTAAAAATGAGTCTGTTCCTTTCAACCAAGCGCCTTGTCGAAAAATTAATATTCCTGTTTTGCTATTATTATCAGGGGCGGTGGGGTAGCCTAGTGGTTAAAGCGTTCGCTCGTCACGCCCAAGACCCGGATTCGATTCCCCACATGGGTACAATGTGTGATATACCCCGCTGAGATATTGCTGGAATATTGCTAAAAGCGGCGTAAAACTAAACTCACTCACTATTGTTATCAATAAACGTGTCAGGTAAATTTGATATAGATTCTTTTTTCAGCCTCCTGCTCGTCAGGGCTCCAACTGAATGAGAGATATACACACTCCGTATCCAACACTACACCATGTGGGCGTATTAGGTAACACAGACAGACTCATCACAACACTTCCAGTCACGTGTTCAGATAGTGAAAGCTGTAAACAAGTGACCTGTCAATGCGATATATCACGTACATACATGCATTGTTTCTTGGTGCTTTTATCCACTCTCCTACCCAGAGTTCCATGCGGCAAGCCAGCATAGTACCTCTGCCTCAGGCCAGTAAAATGTGACGATTCGTCACATCTTGCAATGTCCATTCAATATAATGTACAGATTTCTTTTACTCTTTTATTTTTGACGAGTCTCCACATCTAACTAAACATCTTTAATATAATGGTTAGTTTCACTGTGAAAGTATCCAAAAACATGTAACACTATTTCAATTTGCGTAGCGATCCTTTGTTTACATAGGTTGTACGGCTCCACGTGCAGTCATCGAAGCCGACGGAGAGCAAACGATGCAGCCAGTTTGATATCTAAATATGTACTGTCATAGACCTAACTGTCGCAGTTGTGGAAGAATATATATGTAACAATGTAAAACATTATGAAGAGAGCGCCGAAAAGCTTTCGTGAGTCCAGTCTCTTCTTATTATGAATATGCGCGTTTGATTACAAACAAGAGAAAAGTCCGGTCACGTGATATACAAATTAGCCTGTGGCAGTGATGTTATGTTAAGTCATCACTGCGCCGGAGTGTGGCTTTTATCCAGACGGTATTCTTATATTTGCATATTAACGAAAACGCAAGTGTCCGGATAAGCGAGACTTGACTCTACTACACACCCATGCATCCAAGCATGAATACATGTATATGGCATTGCAAAATGAGCAAACATGATTTATTTATTTTGAAATATCACGAACGTAGCGTACTCTTTAAACACTGACAAACTATGACCGATTACCGTTATTACTTCTTCATCAAATACTACTGCTGTCTCGACGAAGAATACTCTTAGACAAATTAAAAACATTTGCTTCAACTGCTGCTTCAAGAACAAATTTCTACTGATGAAACACTAAATTCGTTTCTACTAAAACGAAAACTAATGACTGCAGTTATTATTTCCATCTTGTATCCACCATGATTTTTGTCATACGGGTTACGATCGTCTTAGGGCTAAAAGCGGCGTAAAACCAAACTCAGTCAGTCAGTCTTAGTGCTAACATCGCTTTTTGAAAGGGTGCCCTGGTCAATATGAGGCTAGTCGGGATTTTTTCATAATCCTTCCTCTCGCTACCTAGGTACGAAAACGTATATGGGCCACAGTCTAAAACCTTCAAGCTGAAGGGGCGGTGGGGTAGCCTAGTGGTTAAAGCGTTGGCTCGTCACGCCGAAGACCCGGGTTCGATTCCCCACATGGGTACAATGTGTGAAGCCTATTTCTGGTGTACCCCGCCGTGATGTTGCTGGAATATTGCTAAAAGCGGCGTAAAACCAAACTCAGTCAGTCAGTCAGTCTTCCTTCAGTTACGTTCGCCTACGTAATTGATACTTACATCTACATACATGATACATTCATTTACGTTGAAGTTACGTTACATATGGTATCTCTATGTATTATATAATCATGTGTATCGTTATTGAGACAGTTACATTGTGTAGTGAAGTTACGACCTTAGTTGGATATAGCTTTATCATACATGATACTTTCATTTACGTTGAAGTTACGTTACATATAGTATCTCTATGTATTATATAATCATGCGTATCGTTATTGAGACAGTTACATTGTGTAGTGAAGTTACGACCTTAGTTGGATATAGCTTTATCATACATGATACTTTCATCAATGTTGAAGATTCTTTACATATGATATTTCTATATATAATATAATCGTGCGTATCGTTACTGAGACCGTTACATTGTGTTGTGAGTCACGACACTAGTTGGATATAGCTTAAACAAACGCTGGATATACTTTATACATTACCTGTATCACGTAAACGTTATAATAATCAGTCAACTTTTTAGCCAACGGGACTACCGACCTATATCGGGTCATACGTACTTCGAGGCAAGCACAACACCAATGTAAGACGCTAATTAGTAACTAGTGGAGGAATCTGATTTGGACTCTTTCCATGAGCGAACCTGCTTGCCGTTACGACTATCGTACGTTTCTAGTAGAGAGCGGAAGTTACTCTCTACAGGTGTTTGTACGCTTTTTAGTACGCGTTCGGCCTTGACAATCTATATTACGTAATGCTGAATAATGTTGCATAACTTTACATGAAAAGATCGTGTTAACGGATATATCGAGATAATATGAAATTCGAGTAAATAAAAGTTGTTGGTTTTTTTACAGATACAGGTTTGTTTCTACCTGGCTAAGTTTTTTGTCGACTTTAAAATCCCTTACCTGTATAGCGCTTTAGTTCCTGTATTCCTTATGAGCACACAAACCTTACGAACATTATCAATGACTGCATCCTTGGGTAGCCCTATCAGATGACAGAGATGTGAACACCGTGTGGATTCAGGAGGTGGTACTATGACCTCTCAGCTGGCGACAGCGCGTTATCACGACGATGTTGATAATACGTAGATCTAGTATTGTTATTGATCAGCTGGTATTGTAATGTAACTCTCCTGAATCTGAATGCTGCCATCTGTTCCTGATACACGCGTTAGCAATGTACATCAGAGGAGGTATTAGAGGTGGAGATTGAGCGATACCAAAGGCTGGAGGAAGTAAACTAACACGTGACCTTATGCACAAGATATATACTCTGTGCTATAACTGTCGGCTCCGAATGATGAGTAGAGTGTCCCTATGACCCTACAAATGGCACGATGTGTTAGTCTAATTTGGTGGCAACTTTTATTCGGATTTAAACCTCGAGCATTATTTATATGTCGGCCTACGTAACAGTAACTAAGATACAATATAATGGCAGTCTGGGTCGCTCTATTGCTGAAAAGTTAACTTTTAACTCACTCATTCTGACAACCTGATTGTAATGGTAGTTCCACGTATGGGCATTGGGAGTTCGAATGCCTTACGTATGTGTATTAGTATGCGAGCGGCTGATTTGCGTTACGAATCCCTTACGTCGTAAGCGCATAGGGGAAATAAACATAAGGGCATTACGATCGTCTTTGTGGGACGGATCCCCGTGGGTCGTGTTTCATAAAGCGATCTGTCCAACGACTGTTGACACTCTCATGCTTTAGGGTAGACTAGTGGTTAAGGCGTTTGCTCGAGTCAGGCTGAAGCCCCGGGCTCGATTCCCTACATGGGCACATTGTGGGAAGCCCATTTCTGGTGTTCCCCGCCGTGATATTGCTGGAATATTGCTAAAATCGGCGTAAAACCCAACTCACTCACTTACTCAAGATAGACTTATGATACAAGATAGCTGTATGAGATAAGGCCCTGGGTGTCGTTGTACTAAGCGATATCTGCACTAAGGAAGTCCCAACTCTCATCTGTCCTTGGTCCATTTTTGTTCCTTGTGTACATCAATGATTTACCTGAAACTGTAACAAATGTCACAAGACTGTTTGCCGTCGACACTTCAATTGGTGTTGCAGGAAAAGATGTAAAAACCATAGAAGCTACTCTTAACTATGGTTTAGCAAAATTGAATGAATGGGCTGACAAATGGTTAGTTAAGTTTAAACCGAATAAGACCAAATTCATGCTTTTTAAAAATGGAAACTGTCCACAAGTTCCTGACTTGATTTTCAATAATGAACATTTGGAACGTGTACATCAACATAAACACCTCGGTGTCATCTTTTCAGATAATACAAAATGGTCACATCATGTATCTGCTGTAATAGAAAAAGGCCTAAAAAATTGTTTCCTCATTACGGACGCTAAAGTACGTATTACCTAGATATATCCTTTCTAGTATGTATGAAATATATATTAGGCCTATTTTAGAATATGCATCTGAGGTCTGGGGTAATTGCCCTAGCTATATTTGTGATAAACTTGAATGTTACAACTTGAAGCAGCAAGAATTGTAACCGGATCGCCTAAATTCGCTTCAAGATATAGTTTATACAGTGAAACTGGTTGGTTACCATTGAAAGTTAGATGAACACAAAGAAAACTCTGTACATTCTACAAAATTGTTAATATGCAAGCTCCTGATTACCTGATAGATTTACTTCCACCTTTTACTGAAACTATTTCCGGATACAACTTGCGTTACAAATCAGATTTGTCTGTTCCTAAATTTCGCACCTCAATTCTCCAAAAGTCATTTATTTATGATTCTGCAAGTTTATGGAATGCTCTCTCCTCTACAACAAAATGTACAAATTCATTATCATCGTTTAAATCAAAGTTATCTGGAAAAATGACAAAGTTCCAAAATATTTTCTATTTGGTGAAAGAAAGACAAATATACTACACACGAAGTTAAGACATTCGTGTAGTTCATTACATGCAGATCTGTTTCGTGTTAATCTATCAGAGAGTAGAGCTTGCAATTGTGGTGCTCCGGTGGAAGATGCTAACCATTTTTTTTATAATGTCCAAAATTTGTCAGTTGCCGTTTTGATCTGAAGCAAGACTTTGAACTATCAAAAGTTCACTTTGACATTGATACCATTCTTTACGGCAACCCTGCTCTGCCAAATACTATTAATGAAAATATCTTTAGACATGTGCATAAATACATTGCACGAAGTAAGCGCTTCAATTAATCAATAATATGTCTTAATATTATTATGTCCATTTATTACGTCCATTCATTATTGTTCATGTTTCTGATGGGAGCGGACGGTAATAAGTTACATAACTTGTGCCCAATCCATTTCAACGCTGAATAAAATATTTTAAACGGCTAGCATTAGCGATAAAGTTTTGTAACAATGACACCCGGAAACAAAACTATGTCAACACGACGAGTGTCTTAAAGGGAAACAAAACTCTCAGTCTTCAAACCAGCGCCTTTTTAATTATCCCGCATAATCACCTGATGCCAATTCAGCAACTCAGCCATCTGGATTTCTAACGATCGAGGACTGACCCCCGTTGACTACCTGGGGAATCCCCTTAACGATGACGTACGTATTACTTCTGTCTTTGTAAAAATCGCTTTCTGGAACAGGGGACTGCTGTGTCGGTGACTCAAGGGTAATATAAGGTTACAATGCCTCTCATTTTCTTCCAGGAACATGCCCCACGCTATTGCCATGCATGAGGCATGCCGCCTCTTTAACCTCTAAAAGTCAAAGCAAGTTACTAGTATACAAGTGTCGATAATAGGTTAATAACAACTGTTTAGTGATAAGCGTTGCACCACAACAGTACTCGGTACTAGAATGATAAAAGACAAGGTAAGGCAGAAGCATGGTAGCTATGTGGTGGGTGTGCTTTCTCGACTCACCAGTGACTTGGTTCGATTCCAACATGAAAGCCGTTTTGGAAATCTTAGTTTTTTTCTGTGATGTTGAAGAGGACGAGCACTGCAATATTTCAAATTCAAAAACATCTCATTCTTATGGAAACCCAGTCATACAACCGGTTTTGTATAAATCTAATCGTCTTCCTAAGTTACAATGACTGTCGTTATTTAGTTTGTGTATCCTGCAACATCCATTGAGTTTTTTAGCGGTATTTATCAACGTTAAATATTCAGAGTTATCTCCCGTCGACGAACGAATTTGGTAGGAACACACGGATAATGTGTTTTCAATTATTTCCTTTATGGCGACATACGGAGTGTGATCAACTGAACATTTTAGTTTGTGACAACATTATGAATTATTTTATCAGTCAAAGGTTTTTAAATTGGTGGAGAATGATTCAATCGTAAAAAAATTCTCACGCTGACAATGGTCTGTGTTAACATGTATCATCGTATGATGAAAGTCTTCAGGCTATGTTTTACAGTTGATGCCATTGTGATCATTTGGACGGTCCTCGTTCTTATCGTATTTATGCATCTGAAATAACTATCGCTTGGTTACAATGGTTGTTCTGGCTAATGATGGCAATCAGTATTAATTTATTGCTGGCTGATTACGTGATTGTTCTGTCAACCACGGCGTTGGTCTGTTCTCGTAGCTATGCTCAGCTAAAATGCTTGTTGGTAATGTTGTTTCGATGATGGTATTCTGCCTTGATGACAGAACTGTGATAACCTTTAACACCTCATTGTGTTAATCACGATAGCAAAATCAGTATAAGAGTTTATATTTCTTCAGGTATCATGGGTAGATCCTCGAAGGACAAGCGGGATGTTTACTACCGCCTTGCTAAGGAAGAGGGATGGCGAGCAAGGAGTGCTTTCAAACTGCTGCAGATAAATGATGACTTCAACATATTCCAAGGTTACTGTATTGCTTCCCTACTATGTGTAAAGCCCATTCTGATGTCCCTCGCAGTGATATTGCTTGAATAGTGCTAAAAGTAAAAGCGGCTTTATGGAATCCTTACAACTGGTCCCGAGTAAACAGTGTTTGTTGTAAGAGGCAAATAAAATGGACTTGGCGACTTGGTTGATTGCATGCCTTTTTACACTGCACAATTTGTCAAAATATCAACCGGACTCAGTTATATACAGGCCACCATGATGAAGCTTAAACACAACTGCCAGCAGCATAAAAAGAAAAGAAAATACACTTCACTTCCACTTACAATCTTTGATTCAGGTGTCATAATAATTGATAATGAATACCAGAATGTTGCTGTGAATAGAATTCTGTTAATAGTCCTAGTTGGCCCTGATAAACCCTGAAAAACAAATGACTACAGATGTCTGAGCTGGTTCACCTGACCTTTAGTCTTTCTGAGCCATTAGTTGACTTTAATAACATAGGACTATGAATGTCTGCAAGAAACATGGACAATCAAAGTATTATCTCAGCTCTATGAGTGTTGTCAGTTTCTGTTAAATCCTGGGAGTTTTGGTTGTCATAAAAAAATGACACAGCAAAAGTATCAGTCTGTTTAAGTGAGTGAGTTTAGTTTTACGCCGCTTTTAGCAATATTCCAGCAATATCAATATTCCAACAATGGGAACACCAGAAATGGACTTCACACATTGTACCCATGTAAGGGAATCGAACCATCGCTTTAACCACTAGGCTACCCCACCACCACCCCAGTCTGTTTAAGAGGGTCATGGAACAGGATAAAGTATTTTGATGGGGCTGTAATATTAGGGGTGTTGTCAGCAAAATATGATAAAATGATGCAGTTTCCTAAGACAAATGACCCGTGAAGATCCAGGGTAGAATAGGTCTTCAGCAACCCATGCTTGCCATAAAAGGCGACTATGCTTGTCGTAAGAGGCAACTAACGGGATCGGGTGGTCAGGCTCGCTGACTTGGTTGACACATGTCATCGGTCCCAATTGCGCAGATCGATGCTCATGCTGTTGATCACTGGATTGTCTGGTCCAGACTCGATTATTTACAGACTGATGCCATATAGCTGGAATATTGCTGAGTGCGGTGTAAAACTAAACTCACACACACACACACACACCCTAAGACAAATCCCACCATCATCCTGCCACCACCCATAATAAATGATAAGTCGTTAAAGTTGCAGACTGTATCCATTACTGCCACATAACATCAAACAACCTGATACTGTGTTAAACTGCAGAAATATCAGACATCTTTAAAGTAAGTCAGTCACCTACATACAAAGTTTTCTGATGTGCCTTTCATCTTACAGGTGTGACAAAGGTTGTTGACCTCTGTGCTGCACCAGGAAGCTGGAGTCAGGTGTTGTCACGGAAACTCAGGTGAGAATTTTACCAGGTACCCATGCCAGGCCATCCGAATTTGTGCTTTTAATTTACAAGCTTTTCACTGTTGTGATCCTTTAACAATGTAGTGATAAACCTTTGCAAAAATTGCCCTCCCGAAGGAAGTGCCAGTTTCATTCCAACAGATCACCATTCAAACACCTTGTTTTGATACTGGGTCAGAGTAGGTTCACAGCAACCTTTTTGTCACCCCAAGAGTTACAATGAATGATTGTTGGGTGGTTTCTGTCCTGGCTGATCGCTGGAATTATTGTCCATCAATCACTATTTGCCCTGTTTCCTTTTAAACCGGGGCGGTGGGGTAGCCTAGTGGTTAAAGCGTTGGCTCATCACGCCGAAGACCCGGTTCGAATCCCCACATGGGTACAATGTGTGAAGCCCATTTCAGGTGTCCCCCGCGGTGATGTTGCTGAAATATTGCTAAAAGCGGCATAAAACTAAACTCAGTCAGGCGGTCCTTTTAAACCGTGTAACTGATGGCATTGGTTTGTTTATCTCAACCAATGGTTGCCCCCTTCTTTAACATACAGAGTCACTGATGACATTGGTTGATTTACATAAACCATTGGTTTCCCTGTTCCCTAAATGATCTCTGTCTTTGATGGACTTATTTTCTTTACATCAACCACTGGTTGCCCTGTTTCCTAAATAAACTGAGTCATTGATGGTGTTGGTTAATTTGCATCAACCATCTGATGCCCTTTTCCATAACAAACTGTGTCACTGATGCCATGGGATGAGTTTCTGCTTTATTTCCTGGTCAACAGTGGTATATCTGGTCCAGGGTTGATTGTATAGAGAATGCCATGATACATTTGGATTATTGATATCTGTCGTATAAACCATGTAAACTGACCTTATTTCATGCGCAAACACTGAATTTAGTATCTTGTTTCACTTTTTCAAAATAAAATTAAACTCATATTTTGAACTGCATAAACAATCAGAAAATGAGACAATGTTACAAACAAGAGAATGATTAGGTTCTTTTTAAATATTTGATTGAAATCAAACCTACTGTTTTTAGAAACTAATCCTGTTTCCTTCTTTCAGAGGTATTGATGGCAAACAGAGTGATGCTAAGATTGTGGCAGTGGATCTGCAGGCCATGGCTCCAATTCCAGGGGGTTATACAGCTTCAGGGTGATATTACAAAGGTACTTGTAGCATCCCTATGCCCCAACCATGGATAAATCGGTCATGATGTAAATACCATGTTAGCCTTGAAAAACAGGGCTTTCCTCTCAATAAAAGTGGGAGTAAGTTTAGTTTAGCCCCCCTTTGAACAGTATTCCAGCTTAGGGGTGAAACGGTATACCGCGGTATTAGTAGAATGGCGGTATTTTGCCTTCGGTTCGGTATACCATAATGCAATCCAAACATTCGTTATTTTTGGTTTACGTACCATCATTTCTATCAAGTCATAAAGTGACGGTTTAGTTCATTCAAAATAACAAAGATTATAGTTATTGTTTTCGATATTATCAAACAGTGTAAGGTGTGAACCGAAGGCCTTGTACCGCAATACATACTGTACTGTGGTAAGAGCATACCGTTTCACCCCTATTCCAGCTACATCAGTAACATGTCAGTTTGATGTTGGAGGAAAACAAGTGATAGAGGTTGTAGACGTTTACCCATGAGCACATGGGGTTGACAAACCTGGTCAGTCTCGGCGAACAAGGATTCAAATCCAGGGTGCTGTTGTACAAAGCGATCTTTAAGCTAAGGTGACCGTAACTCCCATACCTTAACATAGACATAAGGTAGTCTTAGCGCTAAGGTTGTTTTGTACAACAACCCCAGGATCTTAGGATTCTGGTGTGCTGAAAAGACTCTGCAAATCCAAGAGTTGGGCCTCAGATGATTGGGACTCTCATGCCCCTTCTCCTTTTGAAGAAGAATTTTTCAACATTCAAGTATGACTGACGAAACTTCGTGTACATTCACTCACTTTTCTCCAAATTATGCTCTTGTATGCAGTTATTTTCAGAATATTCTCATAATGTTTTAGTATCTAGTATTCCCCACCATGATATTTCCAAGAGCATTGCAAAACAGTTAATAAAGCCCACTCTGTCACTGCATTTGTACTCTCCTGGATAACTTCATTAAAGGGAGATAACTCATGGATATTTATTCTCTTTTAATGATGCAGTTCACTTTATGTTTGTTTGTTTGTTGTTTAATGCCACACTCAGCAATATTCCAGCTGTATGGCAGTGGTCTGTAAATAATCATGTCTTGACCAGACAATCCAGTGATGTCAGGTTAGGTGATGTTAGAATTAACATCATTAGCATCTATTACACAGTTGGAATATGGTGACATGTGTCAACCAAGTCAGCGAGCCTGATCACCCGATCCCGTCAGTTTGCCTGGGTTGCTTAAGACCAATTCTAACCCAGAGATGAGAGAGGTGGAGCTGGTGCAACTATATTATTGTAGCACAGACGTATATTTAATGGATAATCAAGCATGTTGTCATAACTGACTCCCCCGTGAAGATCCGGGTTCAAATTGATCTTCAGTAACCCATGCTTGTTGTAAGAGGCGGCTAACGGGATCGGGTGGTCAGGCTTGCTGATTTGGTTGACACATGTCATCCTATATTGTGTATGAGGTAGGTCATACTGTTAAAGTCAGTTTACCTTGATTTGATTATTTCAGGTCTAATCTTTGAAGGGCATTTAGAAGTGGAATGCATAAGAAAAGCAAGATTTATGGATGTCAACTTCTTTATTGTGAATAACATGACGTTTCGGATGAATGAGTAAGCATACACTCCGAAATGTTGTGTTATTCACAATAAAGAAGTTGACATCCATGAATCTTTTTCTTTTCTTATTTCAGGTCTGCTGGAACATAGCTGGAGGGTTGCTGACAGCACTCTAAAAAATAATGTTATTCGCTCTTTCTTTTGATACTTGAAGTTAAGTGGCCATTTCTGTAACTTTTTGAAGTTATTGGGTGGCCTCATTGTGTCAGGCACTGTAATATTGCTGGGTGGGGTTGTGTCCCATAGCAACCAATATCACTGTGGGTTTGAATCCTAAGTTTCTTCACACACGAAATAAGTTTTGTCTGCCCGTACCTTTGTCTACATACCAAAGTCACTATTTTCCTCCCGTGTTGTTCTGTCATTGTTATATATATCTATGAAATACTGTTGAAAGCAGTGTTAATGAGGGCTGCAATGATTCGATTAGATTCACGGAAAATCAAATCTGACATCTTAGTTTCGATTTTCTATAACCATTATCACTATTTTGATTCGATATTTGAATATCTATTGCAACTGTTTCCATACAGCGAGAACATAATTTTTAATCCAGCTTGAGCAGTTTTGAGTGCTGAAATAAGGTGAAACATGATTGGTTGATGCCGGGCTAATAAGCATTGGCGTTAGTCGACATCGCCAAGTTGACAATGGATTTCACGGTAAAAAAGTTGACTCACTTGAACTGTGAGAGTTAAATGAAATCTGATGTTTTTACTTGTATGAAGAATCGATTCGAGGTCTGGGTGAATCGTTGCAGCACTAGTGTTAACCCCAATTCACTTGAGGGCAGGTGGGTGGCACAGTGAGTGAAGTGTTTGTTTATCATACTTGATATCCTAGTTCTAGTCTGGAGAAGCCCAGTGCTGGTTTTGTTCTGCTGTAATATATATACAGATAAAGGCAAGATGCACTTTGAGGTGAGGGTTTCAGTTGTATATTTTGAAATTTTTCAGAAATCTACAGCTCAAGAAATCATCAGCCATTTTGAAGGGGAGAAAGCTGACTTGGTGGTCTGTGATGGAGCCCCTGATGGTAATATGTTTGTATAGTTTGTTTGTAATGTTGTTCACAATACCAATGACTGGTATGTCTGGTCCAGGTTCGATATAAACAACAACGTCACACCCACCCTCTACATCTTTTGAAGACATAAACATGATGAAATCAAGATTGGTATCTGAATGAACCACTGATGTATTCTTTCAATCACTCTGGATGCCTGATAATGAAAGAAAAAAAACAAGACTTCACCATGCCTACTATTTTATTTGAAATGTGATGATGGAAGTTTATAAAACCAATACACTGGGGCGTGATGCTGAGAAACTAGAGGGATTGGTAATCCTAACATAAGGGAGACAACTCTGCAATGCCTTCTACAACAGGGTCACCAATGCCTCAGAATGTTTTGCAATGTGTAATGTTCAATATCAAACCTTGTCTTCTGTTTCAGTGACTGGTCTTCATGACATTGATGAATATATACAAGCTCAGCTTCTGCTGGCTGTAAGTCACTCTGTTTTTCATAACTTGTAAGTAGAAAATTGCCAGCCCAGTGTTGGTAATGTACTGTAATCCATTTGTGACATCATGGAAAATGGATGACATCATGTCGTATTTTTCTTGACAGTGAAGCACTGTGACGTTACATGGCTTCAAATAACCAATCATTATAGAAAAACATTAAGATGGACATATGCAAATATAAGAGTTATTCGTCACTGTCCTTTTTCCCATGTGAGCTGAAGCTTTAGATGTCTCTGCACTACAGTATTGTATTTTGTAACCAGGTTTACATGTAAATATGTTTACTCAACAACTTGTCATGTCACTGGTGCTCTTGGTTAATAATCTTACCTACTGAATAGTGGGAAGAGACAGATTCTTCTCAAGATTGTTTTGTGAAAAGATCCATCAAACTAGTATTTAAGAAATAACTTTTTTAAGTAAATGGTGAAAATGATGTTTATGTATGTTTCAGGCTCTGAACATCACAACTTTTGTCCTGAAGAAGAATGGAACATTTGTTGCAAAGGTGAGGCTTTATTAGGGAAGAATTATTGTTACAGTGTAACAGTAGTACAAAAGTCATAAACAGAAAATTATTATTAAATTTATTTTAAGATACAGAAGATTTTTCTTCCTTCCCACTTGTATGAAGGTTGTGCCACCAGCTACCAACTGCCTTATACTCTGAGGTCTGAGGGTGGTGGGGTAGCCAAGTGGTTAAAGCATTTGCTCATCACGCCGAAGACCCAGGTTCAATTCCCCACATGGGTACAATGTGTAAAATGCCCATTTTATGGTGACCCCAGCTGTGATATTGATGGAATATTGCTAAAAGCGGAGTAAAACTAAACTCACTCACTTCAAGGTGACCCGTGAAGATCCGGGGTAGAATAGGTCTTCAGCAACGCATGCTTGCCACAAAAGGCGACTATGCTTGTCGTAAGAGGCTAATAACGGGATCAGGTGGTCAGGCTCGCTGACCTGGTTGACACATGTCATCGGTTCCCAATTACGCAGATCGATGCTCATGCTGTTGATCACTGGATCCAGGCTGTCTGGTCCAGACTTAATTATTTACTGACCGCTGCCATATCACTGGAATATTGCTGAGTGCGGCGTAAAACTCACTCACTCACTTCAAGGTCTATCGTAAAACATCCTTGGATATTGTGCTCTTCACACACCTGATATCAACACAATATAGGCCAGGTCACAAAAAGTTGGACTGCCTCCCATGCACATTAAGTGGCCTGAGAGTGCAGCAACTCTTGTGAATTGACATGGAAACGCTCATAAAGGGAGATAACTCTTGAAGGACAGATGGTGACATGACTAAGTCTGAATTTTCACATAATCAAAGTTCGATCATTGTGTGACACTCATGGCTAGTACAGTGGTGGAGCAAATTCCTGTGATTAAACTCTGACTGTTTACCAGTCACAGACATAATGTATACACAAGAACGTATATTTTCTCCTGTATGCAAGGCAGGTGCAGCATACTATACTCAGTGAAGCATGACATGCTTTTTCAATTCAATCTCCATGACAGGCCTGCTCAAGCAGGACCCACAAATTCTGCATAATATACTGCAAAATTGTCCCAAACTAGATAACTAAACTTGTCACCATGAAACAATTAGTTTTTTGTGTTGTGCCACACTCAGTTATGTGACATCAGTCAGTAAGTAATCGAGACTGGACCAGACAATACAGTGATTCACATCCTGAGTATAACCTCAGCTGCTGGAATACAATGACATGCAATGAAGCTAGTCCCTGATTTACCCATAGTTCAGTTCTCACAGAATCAAATTGTGAAGTCAGTATCTCACAACACAAGACCAGTGAACAATCCCAAGAATGATTAAAACTCACAGATTCAGGTTTACAATCACTCAGCAGTATTCCAGCTATATGGCAGCGGTCTGTAAATAATCAAGGTGGGACCAGACAAGCCAGTGACAGGCAAGTAGTGTCAGTGCACTAGCAAACGATTAGATTATTGTCTCTTTTGAATATCTTGAAACACTCAAGACTCAGTTCTTAAATCCTGACTAGTATTAGAAGTTGACAGGAATTCACTGCTGCCAGACAGACAACCAAACTGTGTTTTGCAAGAAGATTAGAAATCGCCTCAAATTGCCCTCTGGTCAGTCTTTTTAAAGTACAGCAGTCTTCTGGAAACTGTCCCATTCCAAGACTTCTCGAATGATCAAGCTTGCTGTGATCCTGTAAACAAAGCAATGTAATTCAACTCTGCCAAAGACAGCATTTCAAATGTTGCCGCATCAGCACTATTGTACCTGCAGTTTAATAATTTGCTACCATGTATAACCTCTACTATTATAGTTACAACAGTTATATATTGCCACTTATTTTACATACACATGCAGCCCATTTCTGGTGTTCTTCACTCACTCACTCACTCTCACTCACTCACTCACTCACGATTCTGTAGTAGATTTGGTGCCTGTAACCTCTGCTTGTCGTAAAGGGAATATGTTGTCAGGCTTTAAGAATAGGATTTGTATGTGTCATCGGAACCTTGTATGAAGCTTTGAACATTCTACCTACCAATTTATCTTACCCAGAATAGCTTATCAGCAGGCTTGACTCACTAAATCACTTCACTCAGAATGTTTTTCTTTGAAAATCTCTAAGACAGACACATGTGTAAGTGAGAAACATACTTTTCTCTTCCTTGCTTATTCAGATTTAACTTTAATTGCCACTTTAACTATAAATATGATCTTGAAAATGTGCTAACACCACTGTGAAACTCCACACTCTCTCTACACAGACAGATCTCATGTCGCTGTCTTCATCATGTTGATAATGGCCGCCATGACTTCCTGTGTTGTGGTGTCGTACTTCTCAATCAGGATGTGGAACATTTTATGAATTCCTTGTAGATATTGGGGAAATTGTATTGTTTCTTACATTGGTTTCACCCACTAACTGAATATTTGTTTTGATTGTATTTTGACAGTTTAAGGCTGTCTAAATTGAAAGAAAGACACAGAGTTTGAAAATTAGATTTATTAGGTCATGATTTTAAAAAATAAATTATTGAGGCATTTTCCTTTGTTTTGCCTGAATCTGCACTTCATAAGCATCTGTTTGATCAGCATTTTAGAAGTTGAATAACAATAGAACCTTTAATGCCATAATCAGGATATAAGTACAATTTGTGAAGCCCATTTCTGGTGTTCCCCACCATGATATTGCTGGAATATTGCTAAAAGCAATGTAAAAAACATACAAGCTCCTTAGGACTTGAAATATCATATTCAATACTGTTTTCATATTTCATGTTTCTAGTTATGTGAAATGATTGTTGCTATGATTATTTCAGATATTCCGAGGGAAGGATGTGACCCTGCTCTACTCACAGTTGAAGATTTTCTTTCCATTCGTCACTGTCTTTAAACCGAGAAGTAGTCGGAACTCCAGTATAGGTGTGTATAGTATAGCTATATTGTTTGTAATGTATACAGGTTTGGTTTTGGTTTGGTTTGTTGTTTTACGCCAGTCAGCAATATTCCAGCAAAATGGTGGTGGTCTGTAAATAATCGAGTCTGGACCAGACAATCCAGTGATCAACAGCATGAACATCAATCACGCGACGGGATACGATGACATGTGTCAACCAAGTCAGCAAGCCCCACCTGTCCCGATAGTCATGTCTTTACGACAAGCATGGGTTGCTGAAGACCAGTTCTGACCCAGGCTTTCACAGGTATAAAGGGGACTTGTTGAATGTGTGCCTGTGCTAAACTGTTTGTACCAGTTTGTGATGTGTTGGAGGGCTTGTACGAAATACTGGTCAGTGTACCTGGTTGAAGAAAGAGCCAACTGACATTCTAAACTGTTTGTTTTAGTTTGTGATCTTTTAGAGGAGGAGGGCTTGTAGGAAATACTAGTTGGGTGTACCAGGTTAAAGAAACAGTCACCTGACATTCTAAATTGTTTGTACCAGTTTGAGATATACAGATGGGGCTTCTGGGAAGCACTGGTCAGTGTTACTGGTCGATAAAAGGTACAACAAATGTGCTAATTTGTTTGTATTATTTTGTAATGTGTAGACAATTAATAGTGTTTGTTTGAAGTACTGGTGGGGTTGCCTAGTGGTTACAGCGTTCGCTCGTCATGCTAAGGAGCTGAGTTCGATTCCCCAGATTGATGCAATGTGTAAAGCCCATTTCTGGTGTCCCCCCCACCATGATATTGCTGGAATATTGCTAAAAGCGGCATAAAACTAAACAAACTCAAGTACTGGTCAGTGTTCTGCTCTGTTGAAGAAAGAACAAACTAATATGTAGATTGCATGATCAGGCTCAGTTACCCGTACTGTACTGTGTCATCGTTGCCCAACTTCTTTGTTTATTGCACAGAGCAACATTTCTTTGACGTTGCATAGAGTAATGTTTCACTATTAGCTTGATAACGTTGTAAGAATCTAAATCAAAATGTCAGTCTATTCAATAAACTAGACGTTGTTGTCCATAAAGTTGTATGCTTCATTTTCATACAGATATTAAATATTGCACCTTGCCACATGATAAATAGTGTCAAATTGTACATTATGTTTCGTGAGTCAGCCATATTGAAAAAAGACAATGTCTAGTAACTTCTGACATTACTTTGTGTAGTGATGACATGTTGTCCACCATATGTTTGGTGAGTCAGCCATATTGAAAATCGACAATGTCTAGTAACTTCTGACAATACATTGTGTAGTGATGACTGTATTTTGTTTTTCAGAGGCCTTTGTGGTGTGTCAGAGCTACAGTCCCCCGGATGGCTACACACCCAACATGTCCAACCCCTTGCTGGATCAGCACTATGGTGAGTAGGACAACAACTTGCTGAGATTCAAAAACTGAATATAGGTTCCCAGTCCTATGTGATTAAGATCATGTGAAAGCCATCTAGGTAAATGCAGACTGGCTATTCGAAGGCCCAGGTTTATTATACCTCATGGATACAAAGTGTGCAGCCCATTTCTAGAATATTGCAAAAAACAATGTGTCTTTCAGGTTTGCTGTTTGTGGAGAGTCTGGGTTTCTGTCCACAGAGCGTTCGGAACATTACGACCTATCGTAACTCTGTACTATATCACTGGCTTACAAATGATGTAGTGCTATAGACACTTTGTGGATAGGGTCCCTAGTGTGATATTTGAGTGATTTTTGAAAGGCTCCCATTTTGTATTAGACACTGGGTTTGCTGAGATGTTCAAGGAACTGATTATATTTCAAGGATATTTATCATCCCTCTTGTATTCATAGGTGGTAGATGCCCAATGCAAAAAGACATTCCTGATGTTAGTTCTTGCATTTGTGCATTGGCGTGAAGTAGCTGAGTAGCTCCACGGCCTTCACATCAGAGCAAAAGTGGTGTTAAACCATTCCGCTCACTCATATGTTGCTCTAGAATATCATGGCTTCTCTGTTGTTGTAGCGTTGTTTTGTCAGAGGGACTCCTGTGTCTCGCTCGAGATAAATGTGGAATGAAATGCAACAGAAACACGTTTTATGTATTCTTTATTGCAGACCCCTGAAGATCCGGGGTAGAATAGGTCTTCAGCAACCCATGCTTGCCACAAAAGGCGACTGTGCTTGTTGTATCGGGTGGTCAGGCTCTCTGACTTGGTTGACACATGTCATCGGATCCCAATTGCACAGATCGATGCTGATGCTGTTGATCACTGGATTGTCTGGTCCAGACTTGATTATTTACAGACCACCACCATATTGCTGGAATATTGCTGAGTGCGGCGTAAAACTAAACTCACTCACTCACTCTTTATTGCAATGAAAAAGTTGTCAGCTCATATAACTTGTTCCTCATCGTCATACAAACTTCTAACTGCCACCTAGACGTGGGGATCTACAGTAAACTATGACCTTATAGTATGTGTGAACCTCTGTATTTATCCATCATTCCTCCAGATGTGGACTTCAACAATCTAGAAGGCCCCAACAGAGTTATTGTTCCCTTCCTAGCCTGTGGTGACCTCAGTGGCTTCGACTCGGACCGGACGTACCCACTGGAGGTAGGTATCTCTTTAATACAGGTCAGTTGCATGTGCCCTTGAAAACCTTTGTTGAGTCTTGAGCCCATTCCACACTGCACTATGACTGATGTAGGGCCATGTTAAAGTACTTCCGTCCATGATAACTTCAGCTTACCTTGGTCTGCATAGAGCGTACCACTTGTTTAGATTCAATCACAAACATGTTTTGAAAGTTCTTTGTTGACAAGTTTTATATCTGTTCCACTCAAAAAATCCTCTTTCATTCACATCATTTGAAAAATTGCAAAATTATGTCTGTGATGGATGAAAAGAAGCTCAGATATGTGAATCAGAGTAACTTTGCTGTGATTCATGTATCTTTGAATTTGAGGGAACAAATCCTACAAATAACTTCACCATCTTACAGTACTTTAGATTTTCTGTTGGCCGGTAGATAGAGTGTCCATTGTGTTAGTGGAGAGAGCAAGGTTAATTGTTTCATCAGCAATCGCAAAGAACCTGAAGATGCTGAAAGACGATACTTATGGTTACCCTAAATGGCCTTCCAAAATTGAGAGTCCATCATGAGTCTTCAGTCATACACACACAGTGGGTATTCTGGAGCAGAACAGAAGCTTGTATTTTGTGTAAACTGATGAAGATTGTTAGAGTCTTCATTCTTCATGAAAATTAGTTCCTTTATTTCTGACTATTTCGAAGGAAACTATTTTATGGAGAACTTGTTTCTGACAGGACTAACTTGTAAGTAGAGCTGAGCATTGTTACACAGACATGACCTTTTTGTGAGCAGATTGCAAAGATCATTGCTCATGCCATTAACCTCTGATTTCCCAGGACCAGACAAAATTAAAAGATGAAGATATACAGAGATTTACATGGTATCCTGTATTTGAGGGTCCCTGGGACTCATACTCTTTTTTCAGGGGTCCTGGACAACTAAATGGGGGTCCCAGACACTTAAATATTATTATTAATACTGTTATTGTATTGTGTATCATGATCATCACATTGTTACAGTAATGAAATTGCAAATGATACCATAACCCAGCTAGTAGCAAACTCAGTGATAACTTATTGTTAGTTGATTGGAATTTCTACAAAAAGTATTTTGACTTTTTCTGCATCTCTGTGGACGTGCTAATAAATTTTGTTGCGTCCATTGTCAATTTTTATGAGTATAGGACGCAGGAATTCACGTCCTGTAAATCCCTGGATATAACTGGTGTTGAACAGCTTTGTGTGACTCACTTCAAACATGTACACATAGGAAATACATTCAGTTATTGTATCCTGGTTTTGGTCAGGTCTGGTTATTCATGATAGCATGGATGGTGTTCGTGTTATCAACCACTTGTTTGTCTGGTTAGTCTTGATTACTTACAGGGCTGCTGTCTTGTTCCTATGATGCTGAGTGTGACATTGGTTAACAAATCAAAGTTTCCAACATATGTCTTAAGTGGAACATGTTCATCTTCCTCCATGTTTCACTAACAGAAGGTTAGGGTTAGCCTTGTGGTTAAAGCATGTGCTCTTCACACCAAAGGTCCAGGTTTGATTCCCCACATAGGTGCAGTGTGTGATGCCCATTTCTGGTGTCTCCAGCATTGATATTGCTGGAATATTGCAGACACTTCAATACTATCAGGGCAGTGTTAATCACAAACTATATATTTTAATTTTCTAGATACTCCCAAGAAACAGTCAAACAATGATTTGTCACAAACCAACATTAATTGCATGTACTGTAGTTTTGTCTTCATTTATGTTTCAGAGGTCAGTGAATGGATGTCCCCAAAATGACAGACACGTTTCTGCTAAACATTTGTTTTTTGTTTGCAGTGGTCTGTATATAATCAAGTCTGGACCAGACAATTCTGTGTTCTGCTAAACAAAGTTTAGCATTGAGATTGTTGCATTTTACCTTAATAAGATTTTAGGAGTAATGATGTATTCCTTTGCAAAATAACATCAAAACCCTATATATTCAATCTTTTTCCTTGGTGTTCCAGCTGGAGCCAGGTAAAGGCTACACCTACCACGCCCCTACTCAGGCTCCGATAGACCCGCCCTACAAACAAGCCTGTATCCTAAGGAAGTCTGACAAACTGGCCAAACAAGGGGCTCGACTCACTAATACCAGTAACACTAGTTGTGTTGAGAGTAGTGCACAAGAGACTGAAAGCAGTGGTGTGGACAGCAGTGTTCAATCATGTGAAACCAGTTGTGAGGAACATACTACCAAAAGTGAAGAAGATGCATTAGCTGGCGCTTGTGGTGGGATTGGAAGGTTGAAACTGGAAACATGACCCGTGATGTGAGATAACTGTTATCTGAATGCTCTTAAACAATTTTTATTGGGTTTTAAATCTGAAGAGAGAGCTGCTGTCTGTACAGGATATACAGCATATATTGTTGAAGTAACAACATACAAACTCATTTTCATAATGATATGGATGGATGTCTGGGAATTCCATAGGTTAAAATGTACCTGGTGGAACTGAGGCCTGTGAGTGAGTGAGTGAGTGAGTGAATGCTTTTGATCACATTTTTTTTAAATGCAACGAACCCTCAAACTATCTCATTCACCTCATACTCTCTCAACCGGCTACTCTGGGAAAGCCTCAATAAGAACTATTAGGAAGAACACTTTTTCAATTCCTCTGCGAGGTTGTCTTTAAAGACAGGTTTATTCTATCATATAAAAGAACACATCTGAGGATAGCATGATAACTATTTCAATAGTGTTGTGATACAACAATATAGTGATTTTATTGTCAGGTAAGTCAAAGTACAGCTGAAGGAGGTACCTCTTTTCTTAACTACTCGGTGAGGATTCTAGTGTGGAGTATAGCATGTCCTACAGCTGTTGTAACCAGTGATGTGGTTGACTGAATGTACTTCATTTGTGTTGAGGGGCGGTGGGGTAGTCTAGTGGTTAAAGCGTTGGCCCATCACGCCAAAAACCCGGGTTTGATTCCCCACATGGGTACAATATGTGAAGCCCATTTCTGGTGTCCCCCACCGTGATATTGCTGGAATATTGCTAAAAGTGGTGTTAAACCATACTCACTCACTCACTCATTTGTGTCGATGTCAGTGACTGGATTGTCTGGTTCAGACTTGCTAATTTATCTAACCTTATTGGGTTTTTTAATCCCAGTTCACCCTGGGTTCACCCTGGGATCTAGGTTTGTCAGCACTAGACCTATGTTCTTGGGTTTCATCAAAGTGGAACATGTATGAGACCTTCATCACTTGGGACTTTGCTCCTGAGTTCCGCTGACACACTGTGATATAAGTGGAATACTGTCAGTCATGTTAGATCCAACTCACCCACACACAAAATATGTGAAGCAGTCCACCTAGTCACAACATTAGGCAGACATGCAAGATTTAGCTACTGAAAGAATGGCATCATGCTCTATCTCACAGATGCATCATTGTTCATATATCAGGGCGGTGGGGTAGCCTAATGGTTAAAGCGTTTGTCACGCCGAAGACCCGGGTTCGAATCCCCACATGGGTACAATGTGTGAAGCCCATTTCTGGTGTCCCCCACCGTGATGTTGCTGGAATATTGCTAAAAGCAGCGTGTAAAACCAGTCAGTCAGTCAGTCATACATCACTTAGCATCCAAGGAAACAATATGTATCCCTTGTGCTACTGGGACCACATGATTGTCAGGCTTTCACTGTTGCAGCTCCTATAGACTATCAGTAATCAGTACCATAAGATCACTTTGTGCACCAGGGCCATCTGAGTCAAGGTCATTGATGTATGATAAAAAACCTCCATAAGGTTGACCTTGATGAACTTTATGTCATTGCATCAAATGTTTACAAAACTATTCCTGCAAATAAAGACAACAAGAAATATTTGCTTCTTTCTCTTTATTCACGACTTTACCATGTAAGGAATACTTTGTGATGTGTTCTCAACTGTACCTGCACTCTATAACTTCCAGGTTATTGTAACCCTTATGACAGAAAGCATGACGCATTGTTAACTGACCAGGAAGAAATGCTGCAATCTGATTGGTTGGAAACTATTAGTAAATGGGATTTTGTGGCATAAAGAAGAATGTAGGTTTGGTTAAATCTGCAATGCAGATCACTCTGATGAATTACTCAACACAGACAGTGTGTGTTGAAATATACAATTGATGCTTTTCTTGAAGTTACAGAGATTGTGGATCGTAAACAACAAAATAAATTGAAAGTCTCGATCAAACTGTGAAAGCCCTTATAGGGAACAGTTGGGTAGCCTTGTGATTAAAGTGTTTGCACGTCATGTAGAGAACCCTGGTTCGATTCCTACATGGATTTTGATGAAAGTGGCATAAAAGTAAACTCACTCACTCACTTAAGGAACAAGAAGTAGGATAATACGAAGGGTTATGCATCAGCTGGTTATGTAAAAGACCCATGTTCCATGCCAACACACGTGAATTTTGGTGTAGGCAAGCATCTCAAATATGGCGGTAATAATTCTAAAACGGCTTAAAACTCCTACTTTCTAAACCTTATCAAATGTGTAGTTTTTCTCCTTTATTTGTTGCCGTGTTGTCATTAAACATATCATTTAGATAACGTAACGTACATGTCAAAACAGATGTCCTCCTACTCCTGGGTGTACGGTTAGCCTATTAACAATGGCTGAAACTATGCCTGATTCACTCTTTGATTTTAAGAATACGTAGGCGTCTTGAGATGGTGTGCCACCATAATGTGTTTAACCAACACTGGTCATTTTGTCGTGCCAAAAATAGTTCCTGTTTATAGCTTAGGTCACGTTAACCCTCGTGTAAATGGAGTCAGAGAGAGGGTAAGTCTCAAACGTTTAACAGCTGTTTAAATCACAGCGTCACGTTCATATATTAGCTCACCTGGATCTGGAAGTAAAGCCAGTGGAAGAGCGAACTGCTTTTTAGGAGAGGGACAAGGGAGGGGTAGAGTTTCTGTTTAAGTATTAAATCAGTTTAAGGAACTAGTACGTGTATAAGATTGTCTGTAAAACGTATCTGCAGTTAGGCTGGGAGCGTTTCTTACGCTATGTGTAGTCTGTTTGTATCGGGCTGATATAATCGACTACAGCACAAAGCCATCACGGCGCGGGCCTTAAGTCCTGTTATATAGTGTACTATTGTATGGAGCACGTAGATGCTGAACAGCTGAATACTCTGGCGCCTGATCTAGGTTGGGTCATTGTTCTTGTCTCATCACGTCACAAACTATATCATTGTCTTTCTCAATTGTCCCTGTCAACAGTGTTCTAATTATGTGACAGCGTCATCTGAATGTATCTGAACGACTGTTAACAGACTGCACATGGGGCTGTGAGCACAAGTGAATTGGTTCAAGTAGTGTATAGATTTCTTAAGGCCACAATACCTCTACCTTGGTGTAGTGGATAGAGCGTCTGTCCACTGAGCAGAATTTCGGGGTTCGATGCTAAAGCCACGTCATTCTAAAGGAGCTTAAACGATTGTACAACATTTTCTAACTTCACTGCCCCTATAGTCAAGAAGGAGAACAAGATATGGATAAACAACTTATTACATTGAGAGCAACGATTCGGTTTACATTCTAACACCATTATCAAGCAAAAATAAACCCACCGAAACGTCGCTCTCACTGTAATCAATTGCTATCCTTCCTAACTGCTAAATGCCTCTCAAAGAAGTCCCTAATATATGTCCACACACCATCATACGGATCAGGGGCGGTGGGGTGGCCTAGTGGTTAAAGCGTTCGCTCGTCACGCCGAAGACCTGGGTTCGATTCCCCACATGGGTACAATGTGTGAAGCCCATTTCTGGTGTCCCCCCGCCGTGATATTGCTGGAATACTGCTAAAAGCGGCTTAAAACCCAACTCACTCACTCACTCACTCACTCACTCATACGGATCATGAAAATCCTGTGATCAACATCATTAGCATCGATCTATGCAACTGGGATACAGAGCCGCTGAAGACCCATTCTTGCTCGGTTCTTCACGGGTTGCAATGATGAAAACAGCCTGTTACTGCGACAATGACCACTCCATTCTTAACCTTGTGATATGTTGTTTATATTCATGGAATAGGGTCCGCCCGGAGAGCGGAAGGTCGTGGGTTCGATCCCCGACCGCGTCATACCAAAAAGACGTTAAAATATGGTACTTGTTGGTCCCTGCCTGGCGCTCGGCATTAATGGGTACAACAAGGACTGGTCGGCTCGGAGTCAGTATAATGTGTCTGAGTGGGGTATTCATGCTTCACTGCGGCATGGTATCTCAGTGGGCTAGCACTATAAAACCAGCTTAAGTCTGGGCTAGTACAAGCAGCCGCACATACACATACACATGCATGCACGTCGTCATATGAGCGAAATATTCTCAAGCACGACGTAAAACCCAATTTCACCTAACCTCATGGAATAGGAATACCAATATGTCATGAAAAGGTGATTGAACTGCGGGTAATTTACCATGAAATAGGTTTTTGAGCTACAGTGACGGGACGTTGTATTGCCAACCAGAGTAGTGTTTGGTAGCCTTTCCCACAGGCCCTGAACCACATTATATTCCCTTCAACTAGCCCTTTCTGCAATGCTAAAGCCCTAAATGAAGCAAGTCTAGATTTCTTGTGGCTGTGAATCTGGACCCTCTCACTTGGTCTCCTTTTCAATGTAAAAGAAATTTTGGTTTGAATCATAATTATACATATTCAGAGAATTAGTATTAGTCGATAGTGTTTGAGTAAGTGGTATTGTACATGTCCAGGTGCGGATACAGCTTTTTGAGAAGGGGGCACACTATTGAGAAGGGGTGGAGTGTTTCACGAGAGTTTCAATGGTAATTTAATAAACTTTGAGAACATATAAGTTGCACACCCTGCATCCCCACTCTGCATACGCCTATGATGTCAGGCTTACACCTTAGTAGTGAGGATAAATATCATGCGATGAAAGTTGAATGACCAATTTAATTACTCACATTATAGACATTATATCACATAGATTATACTATACAGCATACTAAGAAGCTCTCTGAAGCACCATTAAGTTTAATCTTAGTATAAAGTATATCAGCAATGGCGTTATAAAGACGACTGCATCTAATCCAGATATTTTTTAAACTTTCACGTTTAGTAAAGGTGAACTACAGAGCCTTCCAGTTCCACTGGGAATTGTTCTCCAATAAAAGATGCTAGTTGTATTAAATTCTCGATTTGACAGTCTTGAGACTTTCTCAAGAAAAAAACCAAACTTATATGATAACAGAAATATTCAGTAACCAGACAGTCTGTGACTATGAAGTGTAGTATTATTGTGGTAAACCGCTAGTCACGAACACCAGGTACGTACAGGTCAGAAAACGTAACCATTCACTCCTGACTGTCATTCCCACTCAACTATCATAAATAACTTAGATAAGATAAGGCATTACAATGGGTTCCTGTGGCTATTCTGGGTACATATCCTGGACTGGTCACAAATGAAGGGAACCCGTGAAGATCCGGGTAAGAATTGGTCTTCAGAATCCATGTAGGAGGTTGTAGGAGGCGACTAACGTAGTCTGGTGGTCAAGGTTGGCCCCGTTCGGTTATTCTGGGTACGTTACCAGGGCACCGTTCCACAAAGCGACCGTAGCGCCACGACAGTCGTAAGTCTATGTTAAAGTATGGGAGGGGCGGTGGGGTAGCCTAGTGGTTAAAGCGTTCGCTCGTCACGCCGAAGACCCGGGTTCGATTCCCCACATGGGTACAATATGTGAAGCCCATTTCTGGTGTCCCCCCGCCGTGATATTGCTGGAATATTGCTAAAAACGGCGTAAAACCATACTCAGCCAGCCAGCCAGTAAAGTATGGGAGTTACGATGACCTTAGCGCTACGATCGCTTTGAGGAACGGGGCCCAGGACTTGGTCACAAATGCAGGGAATCCGAGAAGATCTGGGTTGGAATCGGTCTTCAAATACCCATGCTTGTTGTAGGAGGCGACTTGGAATGCACAATGGCATTTAGAAGGAGGTCAGTAACGCTGAATGTATTTGTGATTTCACTTTCTCAATAAAGTAAAGATTCTGATACTAGGGGGGTTAAGTCCCATCCAGGTTGATACATGTCATCGTATCCCAGTGTGTAGATCGATGCTCGGGACATCAGCCAGTGGGATGTCGTATATCTGGAACACTGCCAAGTGTGGCGTTGATCAGCAAGAAATGTCCCTGGACACATTTATCATCAAAAGCTCTTCTAATCTATTTCCAATCAGCTGTAGATCAGAATGAGATCAGTATCGATTGGTCAAACTCCATGACGAGGCCGAGAGACTTTGGTAACACCTTGTGTCATTCCCGGACAAGCCTTCGACTGCCTATTACACATAAAGTCTTTAGGTACTGTCAGATTTAAATAAAAACATGTACATTTCATTATTCATACAAAGGATTTCGACAAACAAATGATCAAATAGTTTTAGATTAAATATTTTATTTCATAAAAAGCATAGGCGGATACAGAGGAGGTGCAGGGGTGTGCACCCCCATTTTGTCTTGAAATGAACTGTACACTCCCCCACCCCCACCCCCTTCTCATATCCGCAGCTGAAAAGTACATAAATTGATGCGTGAATAAAAATATAAATCTTCCAATTAGACGAATTTAAAAGAATGAAATAGAGGACACCATAAGTTGTTAGAGAATGGAGCGATTTCATTGGCATGCAGAATCAAGCAGCTATACTTTTGTTAAGCACGTGCTATCGACGTGAACGAAGACATATTGTCCAATGAGAAATAGTGTAAACTTCTGGAACAACACGGATGTCCTGATTCTTTTTCAGTAATGATGTTCATAACTCATTCTCGCAAACACAAGGACATTTTGAAAATG